CCCCAGAGGAAGGGCAAGTATTGTCAAGTAAAAATGTGGAGTTTGGGTGCTTAGGGTATGCAAATGTGAGACTTAGTCAAAGCAATTAGCTGAGTAACTATTCAGCTTCAATTGTTTTCCTACCCTGTTTCCAGGCTGTGACTAACACTCGCAGTGATACACACCCAGCCTTTTCCAGCATTCACAACCCGTATACTGAGCGTTGGCCACAACTGCCTGGGATGAGGAACAACCACAGAGTCCATTTCTGGGTTCAATCATTGCACGTCTACAAGTCAAATTTTAAAACAAAAGCAACACACATATAAATGCTTTGTAGGTACTAGTTTTTCCTTTAAATTTTGACTGTCCATGTTCTGATTCAAGTGTTTCTCACTGTTCTTTACGCTGACCGGCTCTGCTGTGGGAATAGGAGCTGCTCATAACTAAGTCCTAAATTTTTTTAAAGCAAGTCTGTATTTCTAAAATTGTTTAAAGTGTTTGATAAAAGAATTTCTCAACAAGATGTTAAATAACACAGAAGAGGGAGGCCAGATGAGACTTGAAAACACGTGCAGATTGACTGTGCTATAAAACAGATTAACAAGATCATTAGTGGCTAGAAATTGAGGCTTGCCTCAGGCTGGCAGCAGAAAGGCCACAGTTTTCTGATCCTGTGGCCTCAGAAACATCCCAACACCCAGTTCAACCTTTTTTGTCCTCGTGCCACATTGCGTCACTCCTCAATCTTCCCAGTTCCAGCTCCTGGCAGGGCCATGCTGTGAACCAGATCAGGGGACCTGTTCCACTGAAAAATAAGAGTAAAAAGCATCAGAAAATAAAAATAATTTCACGATCTAATTCATGGCACACACCCCGCACCTTGGAGGTGGTACACTGAATGGTGGAGCTGAATTCCTTCCATCTGTACCACCTCCCATGTCAGCCTGGCATCAAACCCCAGCCCAGCCCAACCAAGGACACAGAGAAGGTGACTGCAGTAGCAGGGGATCTGAGGGATAAGGAAAGAGAGCAAAGGGCTTATTTGGGTTAGAAGATGGCTACAGGGAACCCTGGAAAAACAGGATATTTTCAACTGGATCATGAGGAGCAAAGCCAGAGAATATCTGTAGGACTGGAGTGAGGACAAGTCCTGCTTGTTTGGACATGAGGAATATAAAAAGTGGCAGGAGCCTTCTGAGCTTGAAGAGCTGGGGAAGGACGTCACTACAGCAACACCAAAGCATCAACTGCAAACACTGTGTTTATCCAAACCGTAAAGAACAATTTTAAATAAGAAGAGGTTTCAAAACTGTGTTTAGCTAGAAGATCTGTGTGGGAGAGGGGTGGATACCTTTGGACTGTGTTAATAATTAAGTGGAGGAGTGTGTTAAAGCCTATGGAATGGACAGCATGGTAGTAAAAATACCGTGACTCACCAAAGCTGGAGGTTAGCAAACAGGCACAAGTAAACAAAATTGCACATGACAGATCCTTGTGCAGCTAGGCCCATCTCTCCTTAGTGAAACCAAGGCTGAGATACTCTATTCACTTCTGGAAACCTCATGACCTCATGGAAATCACTTGATACTGAACCTGCAAGAAATAAAAATTGTCTTGTTCAGAATTAGATGAAAATCCAGCATGTTTTCCAAAGCTTTCCTATAAATTTGCAATTTACAGGGTATTTTCCACTTTTGTTCTCTTAATAATACCTTAGCTACTGTCTTGCCAGTTAAAAAAAAATACATGAAGAAACCTGCTTTTCTTAGATCATTTCACTCACTCCAGATGCAGTGAGAGCCAGAAGAAAAATCTGGATATATGGTTTAAAAGGGGCAACTGCAAGAACTTTTCCAAGCAGCAGGCCTGTGAAGTCTGCTTTTCTGCATTCTCATGTCATCAGAGGTTTAGTTTTTAACTGAGTTATTTTAAAGGACTTTCCCCATACCTTAAAAAAGTTATCAGCTTTTGCATAAATTAATATAATTCTCTCCCCTTCTCCCTGTTTACCTCCTGTTTACGGCTTGAGGTACATTTGGCTCTAGAAACTGGCAGACAAAAACCATAAGGTTTGAATGTACAGCGGCAAATCTTCCAAAGCTGGTCTCCTGCCAGCTAACTGCCTCTTGGGGTGTGCATACACTGGCTGTCTAGGTTCCCCATTCCTACAGCCAGAGCTGGAGACCCCAAAGATTTCCAAGGCACTGGGAAATGCTGAGGACAGGACAGGCAGATCACTTGATGCTGTTCCAAATGAAGTCGAGTACAAGCAGCATCACACAAGAGCAGTTACTTAGAGCTACATCATAGAGTTTTGCATCCATTTTTAGAGTTATGTTACCAATTGCAGTTGCTTTGATTACCTAACTCGCCTGTGGGTCACTGTCCAAATATTTGTTAGAGAATACAAAATATTTGCTGTTTATCCTGGGGTTCAGCATTACAAATGTTTGTTTAATGTCCAAACTGGGATTTTCAAATGTATCTGATATCTCAGTATACCTCCAGTTTATTTCTATTTAATCTGGAAAGAAAAAAGATCTTGTCAGTATATACCTACCCTACCTATCTCATCCTGAAATGTTTACATTCTGGTAGTTTGCCTGTTGGAGCTGTGTAAAAGGTAAAGTGCCCTGTCACTCTCCCACATGCTGTCAGGTTTGTGATCGCACACAGACATGCACAAAAAGCCTCTGATGCCCCATACCCAGAGCGAGGTACCTGTGCCACTGAAAACAGGGGTGAGGGTATGGCACTGTTATTTCAGGGCAAATGAGGCCAGATTAACTGGGGGTGTGAGTGTGCTGACATCACCTAATTACTCGGTGGTAGAATTACAAGTGCTGTCTCTCCGCTTTGGATTGTACAGTTAGATTAGCTATTACCTATGACTGTGCACTAAGACAAGCACTTTGCTCTAAGTAAAAACAAACCCAAGCCTTTTTTTTTTTTTTTTTTTTTTTTTTTTTGACCCAATAAAGCTTCAATTACAACACGAACTGAAAAAAAATCTCTATTTTTCTTATTAAGGGCAATGCCACAGGCTAACATCAGGAAACTGAGTCAGGAAGAAATCCTCAAAGTGAGGTGTCACAGGCTACAGATCTGCACTTCAGGGTGTCCTGGCAGC